CAGTCGGAGTGGTAACATTCCACTCGACAGGGCTGGGATACGTTGCCGAAGCCGCCATCGCTTCGACGCGCCCTATGAGAACATCCAGACCACGGCTGTTGGGGATTTCGATGATGTTTCCAGGGTTGTTATTTCCACGCATATTGACGAATGGATGTTGAACAGAATAGAGCCACACCGTCGGATGCGGGAAACGAGTAACGTACGAGTTGAACATCTCGCGAAGCACAAAATTCGCCTTCGCCGCGAGCCTGGGGACGGAGAAGGTACCTCTGCACCTGCATCGAAGGTCGTCAGGACTGATACCGATCTTCGGGGGGATTAGGGACCGAATCGGATCAGAGAGGTGAAATTGTAAAGCCGTTATTCCCATTCCGGTTCCTGATGGCCTGTCAGAGACACATCGTATCGCTCCCGCGCACCACCAGTGGGACAAACCCGCTACGGCAGCCTCGAATTTGTTTTGCATAGTGTCTCCTTCTCCCCTCTGATTGGAGGATCAGCTCGCGAGAACATGGACAGGTCGTCATTAATCCTGGGAGCCCTAGCTGGTCAGAGGTGACTTTCGATATTCCGAAATAAGGAACTAGTCCCTCGATATTCCAGATCGAAGCGCGAATCGAAATCGCGATTCTTCCGCCAATCTGTCTTAGGTGAACGCTGCGACGAGCCTTGCCGGTCGTGAGATGGGGTGCATGGGTTCCCCATCCCTTATTCACCGTGTTGATATCCCGGGGCCGGAGATCCCTCCGCGCGATTCAGCCACGAGAAATCCCGAATTAGGGAAACGTCGGGAGCCGAGCCTCGTGAATTTCCCACGATATAACAGCGCACAATCATTCAAGATGGGCTCAGGAAGGGATCTGCGAGAGCGCTCGGCTGCCCGGCGAACCGAGCGTCGCAGCGGTTCGCCGAACCCATCAAGGTTCAGGGAATCGGACCATTCCAATGATGAATGTTCCCATTCCAGGCTATCCAGGACTAAATAGTCGAACGAATGATCGTTCCCTCGAAGGAACGAACAAACGAGCTCCGGAGCGATTCCCCGGGCTTACGCGCGGACTGCGATGGTTTCCTCCCTCTCTCGGAAGGCTCGATGGCTATGTGTCTGTTCCCTCCCCTTTCCCGAAAATTATTATATCCTTCAGGGAGAAGGCACTTCTGGAAAAACTCGCTTCCGCGTACCGTCAAACGCTTTGGGAGCTGATAGCCCGAACAAGACAAGCGGACTCCGTTTCTCCACCTTCTCCTCCTGTTTTCTCCTTCCTGCTTCCGCTTATAGAAGGTTCTGCTTGCCTCCATGAGAAACATCTCTCAGCGGGACACACATCGAGCGTGATACGCTCACACCTGTGTCTACTTTCTAAGCTGTATGTTCGTACAATCACCGTGTTGACCCGAAATCTGTTTGCTGAAGGATTGAATTCCTGCGCTCCAAGCTGATGATTCAGAAGTGTACTCGTCGAATAAACCCCTGATATCCTTCGTGCAATGTGTTGGCTTGGATGAATCGTTGCCGATATGAGGGCGTCGTCGGGACCAGCTATCTCTGGAAGCCTCCGCCTCCACACCTATACCAGCTATCGTCGGGATGAACTTTTAGATACCCGGGAAGGCGACCTGGCTCACCGAGAGAGGGCTGAGGGGTTCTAGTCTTTACCAAGATACGCGCAACCTGATGGTAGAGTTCATGAGGAGGTCGCCGGTCCGAAAAAAGGTCCTATCCGACGAACAGGTTTCTCATCAGAAGGAGTCCTGCGCCCTGGAGGAGCCGCGGAAGCTGCAACGGCTTTGCAATTCCGGAGCCTGAGGAACGCGAGCCCTGAGCCAGGAATTATTCCCGATGAGAGTTCCGGGTTGACAGGATTCAAGGGACACTTTACATGGAGCTCGATCAGCGGCGAAGCGGCGGTGGCGCGGTCTGATGGAGACGTCGCGACGCGTCGCGACGCGTCGCGTCGGGGCCACCCGACAGTGATCGTGTCTTGAAAGATGTGCGATCATGTCTCGGAGCCATATCAGCGAGGGAACCATGGGACTTGCGAGAATCGAGGGCTTACCGCAATCGTACCGCCGATCTACGGCATCTGCGAGGTCCGTAAGGGCTCCTAAATCTTTGCGGAAAGAGTCGACTATCGGTCCGGACGCCCCGTGGACGCAAAACTCTATTTGAAGCCTTGCCTGACGCTCCAGGCCGAATTCCCTACCGAATCCCGCGCAACGTCCTTCACTCCGTAATTCTCCGGATCTCCACCCCTGCCCTCCTCCCCCCCTCCGCCCGAACATCAGCGAAATGACGGCGTAGGCGATATCAGCGCCCTGCGGCGATGATACCGTCTTCCGGTTTGATGTATCTATCAACGCCAAAGACGGCTTCCCACCAGGCGATAACGCGCAGCCGAGAATAGAGCCGCGAATTTCCGAAATTCGGCGCGCAGGACACAATGGCGCCTCTGATGTCCACTTGACAAGCGTACTTCTCAAATCTCATTAAAACCGACTCCGTCTTTACAGACTGCGATACAGGCGCACGACGACATCGAGTTGACGCTAATGACACCGTAGCACCGTGCTCTGACCCGAATGACGCGTATGTACTGATACCCGCCATCAGACAGAATCAAAGCAGATTGGGCGACACTTCCGTCACTTCGCGAGATCGTAGTGTCTGGCGAGTGGTCGACCAGCCGAACGACGGTGGCACCGACAGGCAGACTCACACACGGATCGTTTATAGCTTGTCGATGGCTCGCCCATCGCTTTCTTTCGAGTTGTCATCGAGGGCTGCACGCGTGCCGCGCTCAGATCGGACGATTCCCGCTGTGAATCGACGAGCGTTTCTACGACCCGTTGAGTTGGCGAGCGACAGACTGCCTGACTTAGTGAGTGAGTGATTCTCGTAGTCTCGTAGACTCTAAAGTCGAGCGGGCAAGCTTCATTGCGGCTTGTGAAGGCTCGCAGCTGTACGGGATACGAGAGCTTCCAAGTTGCACTGCGCTACAACAGCTCTCCTTCTCAAGGACCGAGACGTGGGCGGTTTTTTCTGCCACTTCCTCCCCAGGGGGAGCCCGGATCAGCATCGCGCCACAAGGAAACACTGGAGATCGAACACATGCTCTGTTGCCGATCTGTTATCATCTCACTCGAGATGCAATTTCTCCGGCTTAGGTCCCCCAGGTTTTCCCTGCGCCCGAGCGAGGCTCTCATCCGGATGGTTCTTACTTGAGACTCATCATGTTTGCCGAATCGTGTTCGTTTCCTTAGGAGCCCCCCTGAAGCGTTGGTAACGAGAGCGATTCGAAGCTGAACTATTTTGGGTAATGACGATGCACGAGTGCGGCAGTAGTTAGCAAATGAGTCACGTTCGCCGAGGGCAGTGCGATCGGTTCCAGAGCTTGTTCAAATGTTGATTCATCCCCGGTCCAGACGATCGTTGACGAATCGTTTACGAAGCACGGTCCGCCTTCATAAGGTTCGACCGAACTACGACGAGGACTACGACTCCGAGCGGAGAATCACTTACGCGCAGACACGAGTTATGCAAATCGCTTCCTCCTCAAAGCGATTCCGATTGATGACTCCGTGCTCTGCCGTACTGCTTTTTTCATCGATTCTTGCCCCCGTAGGACTGGCTCGATCTCGCTCGACTGGCGGAGGGCATCTCTTGATCCTCTAAGTCATTCCGCAGAGTATCCACTCGTTCGTGTGTTCTTTGATCGACTAGACAGCTCGTCTCTGGCGGTGCAATGGTGAAAGCAATGAATTTCGTTTCCGGATGAAGTGGAAGACGAGTGAAAGACTGGGCCGAGGTCTCCGCGATGAGTTGCAGTATTCGTCGATTCGGTATGCTTGACTAGCTAGTGCCGCTGCGGCTGCTGTAGAAAGACTGCTGTCGGGCCAGATGACACACTGCGAATCGGAACCGGGTCTCGACCCAGAACGTAGGGTCACAATCTCTAGAGAGCGTCAGTTCACTCTGACAGTCAGTCAGCTATGCTGGTCACCGAGTCATCGAGTTGAACTTTTGGGTTAACCTTCCGCCTCATTGACGCTGCCGACGTTGTCAGCTTTTGTTTCGACTTCGCACAGGGGAACTCGATTTCCTCCCGCGGAGAATCCGCCGATGCGGCCGAGAAGGAATCGCGACTCTGACGAAGGATCGAATTCTAGTCATCGGCAGGGTGGTTTCGCCGCTGAGATCGTGATGTTCTGGAAGATTCTCTCGACGCCTCCGTCTCATCTAGCTGCAAGGCATCAGGAAATGTCCCGGACCAGGAGCAGCATCTGTAGGGGCAGCGGTCAGCGACCTCAGTCAAGGCCCGATGAGGTTCTGATGAGGCGAGGCTCTTCATCGCCAATATGCAAAATCAATTCTGTGCGTAGAGGCCATAACGTACACGCTCGTTCCCTCGTTGTCTCGTACGTGTTCTCTCTAGTTTCGTCGCTGTCTCTTGACTCTACAATTTTTCCACTGCACAGTACTAGTGCAAGACTCGGCCCTCGGCTATCGACCTTTCGGACGGGTTTCTCGCTTCTTCCAGGAATATTCCAAAGAATCGAGAGATTCAAGTAAACATTCGCCTGGTACCGGATCGCAGCAGACCTTGGGCTCGCGTTGTGGTCAAGAAGCGTCCCGAGAAATCCTTCCCGAGAGAGCCCTCCACGGTTGCCGATCACGTGCACGCATGCAAACCAGGCCGGCCACAGAGCCACAACACCTCGAGCAGAGACGATCGCTGTCTGACAAAAAGGTGGATTTAAGACGAGATAAATGATCTGGCACTGCCTTCGACGGCGACTGTCCAAAGCGAACTGCGATTCTCCAGAAGTCATTAATGTTCGAAGGTTAGTGACAGCTCGTGGCGGCGGCGGAAACAAGGGGAAACCCTAAATATCGGCTCACTCAGTCAGACTCTAAAACGTCACCCAGGTGTGTCGGATCCCATTGAAACCCTGGCAGCAAGACCGCGCCGAGATTGAGAATCAATTTCATTACTCACCGTACTCAGCTGGGCTGTAGCGTTGAGATGCGCCGAATCATCGTACGAGGTCACTGCGAGGCCCAGACGGTCCGTGGATGCCGTCATGAGCATGGATTCACTCATCTCTCGAGAGGCTGCAAATTTGAGAAAAAAGGAATCATGTGAAAAAAAAGCTCCATTGTCCGACGCCCAGCCGAAACATGCAATCGAGTTGCAGACGATGACCCGGTCATCATCAGTCCCGCCTTGTGACGCTGCTCTGACCCACCGCTCGTTTCCGCGAATCGCCTCTCGATCCGCGTCAGCCGCCTCCCTACATCCAGTTCCTCATTTTCCGTGATTGCCCTTTCACGCAGACGAGAGGTCAGGCATCGCGTCGCTCCGAGAACCAAACAAAAGTGATGATCGTGTCCACCAATGCAACCGACCGTAAAGTCGGCGCACCAATTTCAATGCCCTCCGCTGTGGAGACAACGGCATCGGTCGAACAACGAACGGAGCAGCGAGCAAGCGAGTGAGCTCCCACTATCCTCCGGCGTTGTCTTCATGACGACGAGTTCTCAGAAACGAAATGACTTCTGGGTAAACTCTAGAGATCGCATGCGAGCACACAATGACACAACCAGAGCAGCCGCATCGGAGGAGACGCGAACAGTGGTCTCCCGACAACCTGAACGAGTTGCTTCAGATTGTCAGTTGTCATCGCGGAAGAGTTCCACGTTGCTGCCGAGCCGGCTTCACATAAGCACACTATCCGGGTGGATCCGTTCGCGAACAATGCCCGATACTCGAACAATACACCCCTGTATTCATTTATATTTTCATACCGTTCCGCGTATGTCTTAACGGACGTTCGCGCTAATACATATGAACAGAGCCACGGATGAGCGGATATGCACACCCTTTTCTTTCCGCCCAGGCGCCCCGGCTCGGACCGCGTCGGGAACTCGACTACGCAACGGATTCTCATTTCGTCTCCGCCTGCGCGAAAGAGCCTAGCAACATCGGGAGCGACCGATGTTACAGTGTGAATCGCTTCGACGCATCTCTTCCGACAAATGCAGAAATAGCACTCGGCAACAGAAGAGAGGCGTCACCCTATCACGTTCGCTCTGCATGCGTTATCAGCACGACAACGTCTCACCTTCAGCGACTTTGTTCCAGGTTTACATAAGCGCAACGGTCTCCACTGCGAAGTCTGTATTCGCTTTTCCTGTAATCCCTCTTCGGAAAATCGTCTGCTCGAAACGTGGGATGTCTCGGAAGGAGCCGTCGCTTAATCGCTGAATTTTTCCCACATGCCGTTCGTTCCGCAGCAAGAGCTTCGCCTGACCACAGGGACTGTGGAGCGGTACCCCTCCATCGGAGAGAGACAGATCTCGACGAGGAGCTACGGCAGGATAAGAGAAGCTTCCCGGTATAGGTACGGACAGCGCCATGAACAGTCCTCAACGTTTGGATCATTCTTTTATTCCTCTCAGAAGATGACCTGGATGCACCATTTCTCGCCGAGGACTTGGCAGGTTCACCCATATATTTATTTCGTACGATCGAATGCTCCGTGTTTTGCCCTGCGGCCATCCTTCTTCTATATAATGCTCCATAATGAATTCTGAGGAGTAATACTATTCGGAATGCGTCGGAGTCGAAATATGATGAGATTCCAAGGACCCCTCGCTGCTTCTCAGAAGGGAGGGAGACGCGACGGGAGGAGCTCAGGAAATAGCTTCTAAGCATCTTATCACAGAGGTCAAAAACCTCCGACAGAGGGAAGCCATCAGAATAAGTGACACGATATCAACTCGTTGACGAAATTTTTATCTGACCTTTCCCGAATAATAATCTCGGTCTGACACAATCGTTAAGGTTTAACTCTAGCCGCGGTCGAGGATCCTGCTCGAGCAAAAATGAAGTCTCAGCGTAAGTCGGACTCGATTTGTTCAGCCGGCATTAGGCGTTTTTTGGGAAACGCATAAGTAAGCTGTGCATACATGGTCGAGCTTCAGTTTCCTCGTACTTTGCAATGTTCTCACTCTGAGCCAATGCACCGCTTCGATGGCGACGAGACAGCCGCTTGTACAAAAATTGTAGTTTCCCCAGACATGTGACGCGCACGACAGCCACCAGACATCAACGACAAGTCGGCAGCGTGCGCTCTCTAGGAGATTTTCCCGATTGGTCCGTCTCGTTTAATGAGTATAATGGCGCCCGGTCGAGACTCTTCTGTGGAATACTTCGATTTTCCGGGAAAGCCTGGGGAAAGTCAGAAACGCTTGTTCAGTGAATTCGGCTTCGCTCTGGACAGTGACCCCTTTTGTGCTGCGCTCAGCGATACTGAGAATCTGACAGATTGGCCTCGTTGCCACACGAACGAGTTGAAGCTGACGAGGTCTCCGCGCTCGAGCCGCCGTAGACGATCAATGATTTTGCACGAGGTCGTCCAAAAAATTACCCGCGCGGGCTCTGTTTACAGATACTCGTTTCTCCTATCGGAAACAGTGAGCCTCGACATCGTCGCTTGCTCATTCTGGCCCACTCCTCCGTTCTGCGAGGGAGGTTGATAGTGTTTTCTCGAAAGAAGAATCGGGGCCTTCCGCCCCCCCTCCCCCGCTCCCCCCATAGGAATCGCTTGCTGCTAAACAGCTGACGGTAGGAACACGGCCTGGTCCCGAGCCGGAGCCCTGAGTTTGTGACACGGAATCAATTTGCATGAGAAGGAGTGTTTTGCCGACAGGGCGACGGGAGAGCGGATGAGAGGAGAAATGAAAAAAGCGACTCGGTGTCGGGATTGGGGATCAGGGGTTTAAGGGGGCAGGGGCCCTATACGATCCCGACTTGGCGAGCCACCGAAACCCCGGCTCGAGCGCTGTGATACGAGCTCGATGGAATTGAAAGCGATCGGTGAAGGGACCGCTCGTCGTCCGCAGGTTTCCAGGACTTCAAAGTTTGTTCCGGGAAAAGCTCGATCACCGAACTCCACAGAAGCCGCTACTCCATGGAGCGCTCACTCCGCAGTAAAAAGAAAAGCGTATCGTTGCCTGCTCTGTGAGCTTATGGTGAGATCTACATATGTATGTAGAGCACCTCTCACCTATGAACACCATCCTGGTCCCGGGTTACAGGAAGACAATCCAATCGGAACAACACAACACCGCGAAAACACTCGGTTGTCGCTACGGTTCCTTAGATTAGTTTGTTTCACAAGGCTCTTCTGAGGCGGAATAGCATGTCTCAGCGCGAACGAGCTCTAGTCTTCTTCGAGGAAAGGGACCCGCGTGACGTCAGCAGAGTGCTGCGAGAGTGCTGCGTTCACAGGAAACCTGGAAACTCTGAGAATCCCAGAGCAGACGTGAAGAATTACGATGTCGCAAGGTATCGAAAAAATGGACCGACATGCTGTGTTCCATCCCTTGATCGCTCCCGAAGCGAATCCGCATTGAAGGAGGCGACCACTGAGTCGGTCGACTCTGCGATCGTCCCGCATCCACGGAACGAACCCCGTGGAATGCAACGGGTATATCTATCGAGACGATTCATCGACGGTCTGTCGTCGGTCTTCGCGAGGCTGAGTCATCTTCGATTATATTGGATCGAGATTGAGGTATTTTAGGTAGGCACCGGACGAATATGTAGCCGGGGAACCTTCGGGAAGATCCGGACTTACATCACTGCTAGTCAATTTTCTCGCCTGGAGAAGCGTATGACTTTCGGAGTGCTCTCCGTAATTTCCTCCTGCGGATGTACACCTAAGCCTTCGCCCACGTGACGCGGTAGCACATGGGAAATAAGTTTCCAAGATCCAATTCTCCTCTGGATCAAATCAACATTCGATCGAATAAATGTCAGTGAGAGAAGATTTTCAGCGCCAAGACTTGTCAGACAAGCTGTTATTTTCGTTGAGTCGTAATCTGATTTTTCTGTTTACGTTTTTCTATCGTTCCGGCTGTGCATACAAGATCGACCTTATTGGTGACTATTCGCAACACCGATGCAATAACGTGTGCAATTTCCGTTCATGATTGCAGAGATTGCTTGCTTGATCGATCGATCGGTCGGTCGGTCGGTCGGTCAAATGAGCGACGTCGCAGTGCCAATACTTTTTGCTCGCCGATCTGCAACAGTTCAGGCTGACATCGAGCCCTCAGCCCTGAGGTTCTTCTGTCGCACCAGCGTCGCTCATAATTGCGTACACGAACACAAATGAACGTCAAAATGCGGCGTCGACGCCCACCGGACGTCAGAAGCCCGTCTAAGCGGGGAGACCGGTTCTGCCGCGTCCTAGTCTCATCGGGAGGATTCACTGGAATACGGACGCAAGTGGATCAATCGATTGCGATCAAGATTTCGACTCCGAGATGTAAGCTCTTCCGTTTCCGCTCGTCGGACTGAGTCGGTCGTTTCCCCGGCAGAACTCATCGGAACCGAGACGTAGCTCGGATCGGTCGGGAGTGAGTTTTTATCGAGCCTGAAGAGTGGATTACCAGGTCCGCGTCACCAGGAATCTCCATTCGTTGTTTGGAACGAGAGGGGGGACGTGGAAATCGCAATTGAAATTCTCTTGACGGCTCATGTGATTCCCCGCTGCTTCGAACGCTTCCTTAACAAACTAACTAACTTTGGCACGCTCTCCTCCTTAATCTGACTAAGGCATAATTGGTGCTGCCCTCCTCTCAGCTCCAAGGTTTTAGGAAATTCTACCAGCCAGTGAATCGTCCGGGGACGACGAGCCTGCGATCGAATCCGGTAGCCTCACGGTCATCTTCAAACACTGTGTTCCCGACTCTAGAGTGGATGGAGTAGATGAATTTGGGTCGAGCATAAATCCTTCTCCTACGTCGATCAGAGTAGCTTTGGCCCATTACCACGAAATAATTCGCGAAGGAAATTGTTCAAACACGCTCCCGAGAATTCTCGAGAGCCCCGTCTATTGAAAAACCAACTCCCTGGATTTTGATTTCATTTTCATGCCGATGGAAGCTCGTTTGCGGACCCCAAGGGGCGAAACTCGCAGTCATCAGACGTGGAGACACACATACATATTTTCTAAAGTGAAGGACATTCTGTGTGGAATTTCTGGAAGGAGCGAGGCGATTCTACATCTTTATGGGCTATAAACATACTTTTCTCAAGCAAACGATCAGGCGCTCGACACAATGACCGACTGAGCCCCGGAGAACCGAGATCAGTGTCAGATGGTTAGAATAGGTTGATGGTTGATGTTGAGCGCAATCGCGTGGCTTCGATCGTGTCGGTATTGCCCATCCGCGCACCGCAATGAGCGAGAAGCGCCTCAAACCATTCAATGGCAACCGAACGGTCAACTTTCATCTCACTGGTGCTCGAATCTCTGCTAAGAGCTTTTCTGGATCAATTTAGACTATCAGTGATTTTATCGATGTCGATTCACTCATAGATGGCGAATTCCTCGGTGATGAGATGCTGAGCTTCGTGCTTTTCTCACCCGGCGTCGGAAGCGGGCCGAACTCGCTTGCAGCAGGAGGATCTGACTTCTAGTGGAGAAGAACAGCCGCGGCCACCATCGCCAAACATCAACCTCAACAAACCCTATGCAACCAGCCGGAAAAGCAAAACTGTATGATGGCTATACCATGATGTCCGGGCAAGAAGCAGAGATGGCCTAATTTTCACGCGATTGAGGAAGACCATGCCACGACCCGTCAACCTCGATGACGCTCTGGCCATTGTTTGCATCTCAACGTCAACTCCATATCACGATATTACACCTACTCATCGCAAGTCATTCTCCATATCCCCCGGGTCGAATCTGAAGCATATAGTAGGTCTCTGAGTCACGAGACTCGTCCGATTCTCTCGAAGATACTCGGAGAGCCTGAGCGCGTGGAATGAATATGGCGTACGGGGTCGACGGCAATTTTAGAAGCATCGACATTATCTGGAAAGCTTCATCGAAACTATCCAGAGCGCTCATTCTGCCAACGAGCCACTGGCGGGCACGGCTAGCGTTCGAGGTTCAACAAAGCGTTGATGAGAATCTATTATGAACGAACCTTGTTTCAGTCCGATCAATTGCTCGAGATAGCGCAGCGTTTCAATCAAGAGAGCTTTTTGAGAAAAGCTCTCTGAGATCGGCGACATGTTCGACGAATGTATCAATTCACACGCGGAACCAAGTCGGGATCCCTATCGGGATTATAACGAGAAATTTCCGAGGCGACTCACTCGGACCGACGCGGCTCTAGTCGAACCGAATGGGAGCCGCGCAGTCCGCAGGATTTGCTCTGATCCCCGAAACATGTCAATTAGGCGGAGCTTTATTCTGCGCAGGAAAACCGAGTCCGCCGGCCAGGCTTTTGAAACTCGAGGCTTCTCGAGCCCAATTCACTCTGCCGTCAATATGTCTCAGCGGGGCTCTCGTTTGACTTCTTCAGGATACGGGGCTCCGACCGTGTTCGTTATCGACGTGGCCGGACGGACTTCTTCCTTGCGCGTGTCGCGATCTCCTTAATCAGGAGAGCAGTTCTGGCGACTATTCTGTGCCGATTACTACTCGGCGAATATTCGAAATGTCTGATCGGGAAGACACCCGTCGGGGAGACGTAGTAATCGACGTCCTCTGACCTGTCCACGGGCGGCGTGGAGAGTCGGCCCAGATACATTTTTTTTTTAAATACACCTTTATTCCATTAAGACAATGACGAAATTGATAAGAATTCCACGAGGGCATGCCCTGTATGTGGATGAGGCAGGAATCGACAAAACTTCTGGGAGGGTAGAGGGAGGGGCGCGCATTGAGGCTAGAGACATGGTAGTTGGCTCTGAGAAAAGTTACAGCAGGGGTAGTACATTGTTTGGGGCGCGAGTGAGAGACATAGATAGCTACCGGGAGCGCGAGTGAGTCTCTCGACGATCTCTCCGGAGAACGGGATCAGAAGCGGATTGTTTCGCGACACGGGTGGTAATATCCCCTTTCATCTCCTCCACGGGTCAATGATGGAGTACTATCACGCTTCCTGATCTCGGTCACGGACTCATAATCAGGGAAGTTTCAAAAGTACAGACTTTTTGACCGCGATCGCTCTCCAGTAAGCGTTCAATCTCCTCTGTGTAGCTTGCGGGATCTCCGCTTGAACAACGGGATAACGCAAGAGTGACGATCGACGTGTTCAGAGGCTGTAAGGCACAAATCTCTCCGACAAGCGATAGCTCCGAGGCAGGAAGTCGTGGGTCTGCGAGATATTTCCACCGGGTCTGGCGCCGGTGTCTGGAGCTTACGATTATATCGGGCCGGGGTAAAAGCCGAGGTCCCGGACAAAGCTCGCTGAGGAAAAGACGGAAGGTGATTGTAGCGGGGTCGTTTCGCCGAGGGAAACTAGAAGTGGCACTGAAATATAGCAGTTGGCATTCCACCGAGGCAGTATGAATGAAGGCGGCTCTGCACATCCTGCTCGAGACAGAGGAGACGGAATAGTATGAAAGCGAGTAGACGGACGGCCCAACATTCCACAGTTGCGGTCACAGCTACGGCTCCGTCGGGGTCATTCGGACATTCACCCCTACGGGGAGCGTCTACGGGGGCCGGTAACGCCGAATGTTTGGGTGACACGACAGCTATTGAAATGCTCAGGACAGTTCAAGACTGAGGCCACGTTTTTATCTGGGAAAGAGTCCGCGGACCAATTTAGTGTCTAAGGAATCGTAGCGGATCCGGGAGCCCCGTCGACACGCATTGGGAGTCGGCTAATTCACGCACTGCAGCCCTTTTTTCATCCACCACCACCCCACCCCCCACCCCCCCCGCTCTCCCTCCACCCCTCTTCTCTCCAGCTGCGCTTTCCGTTTTCGCTATCCCTCGGCGACGAGCGGCTCATTGTTGAAACACGCGAGTCGATGTCCCGGTAGAATTCCCCGCGACCACCGGTCGGCGATTGCATCCTGCCGGCTGCGGTTTCACGTGAGGCTTGGCCGCTGGGGGACGAGCACAGCGACCGATCGGATGACCCATCAAGCGATAAACCGACCACGCTTCTCGAATCAATTGACCAGAGAGAGTCGGAACCAATCGACCTCCGACGACAACTTGCCCGCCGAGCACCTCGCAAATTTCCGATTCTACGTCCTGAGC